ATTAGTACTTTCTTTTATACGTTGCTTGATTTTTTTGTTAATAATGTACATTAATTTATATTCTTTTGTTTTCTTTCTCCATAAAAAAAGTACCAATTTCCTTCATTTTAACAGATAATGTTAAAAAAAAATAAAAATCGAAAGCGCTGCCCCCGAAACCCTGTAAGCTCCCACCCCTTCAACTCTGGGACCCCATACTTCGATAGGTTGGCTCTGCCCTTGTCGATAATAGCTTAGGCTCAAACCATCTCTATAAATATCACATGTAGCCCCAGTTTTGTGCACATTTTGAAGGTAATAATGCATTTTTACTATTGATGTGATAAGGGAATATGTGGTTGAAAAAGAAAGAAAAGTTATTGATGTGATGGAAAATATTATTTTATTGAAGAATGTGTAGTTGAAAATGAGAAGAAGAATGAGAATGAAAAAAATAATGTGGACCAACACCGGGCCTACCCTTTCTTGGTTTCCTCTGGTTGGAGCATCCGACAACTCTTCGATAAAGATTCCTGATATTGAAATGATTAAATTACTTCTTCCACACTGCTCAATGGAGATGAACAAGGTTCCTACTATAGTGAATTCCTCATTATCTCTTAACTTTAACTTTCATCATTTTCACAATTTCACGTGGACGAATATATAATTATGTACTTTCATTCGATTCTAGACAACTTATAGCAAAATTAAGTAAAAATAATAATTTAACAAGAGAGTCATAACCTCTCAACAAGATGGTTGCAAAAATACTTCCACAACTCAATCCGTCAATCATGAATGAACAAAGTAAAAATTAATTAACTTTAGAGTTCGTTTGATTGCAAGAATGAAATTTGAATGGAAAGAAAATGAATTACAGGCAATTGAATTGCCTAAAACTTATTTTATTGGGAATGTGTTTGATTGATATAATTTTTCACCAGAAAAATATTGAAATTTTGAATTTTTTAGTATTTGTTTAACTTTATTTTCCATGTAAATTGTTCATTAAATGGATATAATTTGTTTTAATTGCAAAAAAAAAAAAAAAATTTGACTAGAAAACCAAAAATCACAAAATCAATGGGAAAACCAATTCAAGGAAAATGTGAAAAATGAGGTCACGTGAGGTATAAGTTGGAAAACCATTTGTCTAGAAAAATTTTCCTATCAAACAGTCTAAAATGTGGAAAATAAAAAATAATTTTCAACTTCCTTGAAAAATTCTCTCTATCAAATAGGGCCTTAGATTTCATCAACCTAAAACCCAATATTTTTATTTGTAAAAACCTAAAAAATCCACATATAATAAATAAATTTAAAATATGGAAAATACATGCGTAGAAGAAATAAATAAATAAATAAAAGGGGTTTGTAAACATTACATGAAAAAGGTTGGTGGGGCCTACCTGAACAGTCGACATCGGCCGTCCCTTTTGTCGTCTCTTTCATTTGCCTTGCCTTTGACTCTATTCCCCCCATCTCTCTCTCTCTCTAAATTCTTATCTATTTTTAGTAATTTCCACACTGCCTCCTCAAGCTTCGTCTCTTTATCTTTAATTCAAGTACGTATATATTTTCCCCTCTATCTTTTATGATTTTTGTTCTGTAGCCCACATATTTCTATGATAAATAGAGCCCAGAAAGTTCTTGGAGTGCTATGAATAGTAGTCAAACAGAGGTGGTTCAAGAGAGATCAGTGTGACGCTTTAAGGTCTTAGAAGTTCGGTTCTTGAAATTACTCCTGATGGCTGGCAGTAGTGAAGTAAAAATTAGTGAATCGAAGGTAATCATTCGAATATGCTCGTAATTTATTGTTCTTTTATTGGGGATTTTATGAAAACTTCTCTATTTTTGGTTGATTAATTTTGTCGGTTTGAGATTTTTGCTTGTGAAAGTTGAGATTTGTTGAGAAAAAGGGTCTGAGTTGTGCTGAAAATTCGAATCTTTACCTTCGCGTTTGCGGTTATCTTTATTTGTTTTTATTCCCCTTTTCCCTCTTCTTTTCTTTTATTTGCTCTGATTTGGTTTCCTTCTATGCATCGTTTTCAGATTTTTTTCTTTTATTGTGATTAGTTCTACTGGTTCGATAGTCTGAGGTCAGATACATGTCTTATCAATTTCTTCACTCAGTTTTAGGTCTTTCACCTTCATTTTGTGCTGCAATTGATAGATGAACATGTAATTAGAGCTTGAAACACTCTTTTGCAGAAGGTGGTTCCACTGAATACATGGGTTCTAATATCCAATTTCAAGCTTGCTTACAACATGCTTCGCCGTCCAGATGGCACATTTAACCGTGATTTAGCTGAGTTTCTTGATCGGAAAGTCCCCGAGAATCCGAATCCTGTAGACGGGGTTTACTCTTTCGATATTGTAGATTGCACCACGAGCCTTTTCAACCGGGTTTACTTGTCTTCCCTTGAGAATGAGGCTCAACGGAGGATTGTAGAAGTTGAAAAGCCATTGAGCACGAGTGAAATTGTTCCTGTAATATTGTTCTTCCATGGGGGGAGCTTTACTCATTCGTCAGCCAATAGTGCTATTTATGATACATTTTGTCGTCGTCTTGTCAACATATGCAAGGCTGCTGTTGTATCTGTGAATTATCGCAGATCACCTGAACATCGTTATCCGTGTGCCTATGATGATGGATGGGCTGCTCTTAAGTGGGTTCACTCGAAATCGTGGCTTAGGAGTGGGAAGGATTCGAAGGTTCACGTATATTTGGCAGGTGATAGCTCGGGTGGGAATATAGCTCACCATGTTGCTGCACGGGCTGCTGAAGAGGGTGTTGAAGTATTGGGTAATATTCTCCTTCATCCAATGTTTGGTGGGCAAGAGAGAAAGGAATCGGAGAAAAGATTGGACAGGAAATACTTTGTAACGATTCAAGATAGGGATTGGTACTGGAGAGCGTTCTTACCAGAAGGAGAAGATAGAGACCATCCGGCCTGTAACATATTCGGCCCAAGGAATAAAAGTATCGAGGGGCTTAATTTTCCAAAAAGCCTAGTTGTTGTAGCTGGGTTTGATCTTATTCAAGATTGGCAATTGGATTATGTTGAAGGGCTCAAGAAATCTGGGCACGAAGTAAAGCTCCTATATCTTGAAAAGGCAACAATCGGATTCTACTTCTTGCCAAATAACGAGCATTTCCATTGCCTCGTGGACGAGATCAAGAGCTTTATCCATTCTAACTGTTAATACATATTTACATCAACTTCAATTACATGCAGCTATGTACTCCTAACAGAATCTCAATATTTTACTTGGGGGTTTATTTTTTTCCCCACTTTTAGCATGTGTGTAGTCTTATATTCTGCATAGAGTTATTTTTGTTTTTAATTCGTCGTTTCTTAGATTTTGCATCTTAACATGAACCATCTCCGTCCCAAGATCATTGCCTTCCTGTTCATGGTCAAGAAACACATTCCATATGGGAAGATTGCTTATTTTGGTACTGCAGAAAGTAACTTATCCTTGTGCATTTGGCTGAAAGTACTTAATTTACATCTGGTAGAGGAGTTGTTAGTACTGTTATCATATTGTTTTTTATACAAGTGCTCGAGAAATATATGATATCTCATTGTTTATCTGGAAGCTACTTTATTTTTTGTCTTATTTGTGATGGTGTTTATTTATTGAACATCCAAACTTATCTGGTATTGAGCTGAAAATATTCGTGCATCTATTTTTGGGCTGCATGTATTTGTACTTCTGTATATCTATAGGTCTTTTTTCTATGGTGGCAAGAGTGATGACGCAATTTGTATTTGTTAATTCTTCCATGAAAATCATACCAAAAAGAAGTATTGATGCAAAAATCTTTTGCTAAAAGGTGGATAATTTGTTGTTAGATTTATCGTTTAAGGCGATTATAAGATTTTTGCTGCTACGTTATTGGTTATAAAATTTGATTTGTCCGCAAAAGAGCTCCATTTATGGTCTTTTTGGCAGGACTTCTGCTTCTTGTATCATCTGAAAACTCTTCTATTTAGACAAAGTACTTCAAAAAGATTATTCAATTATGTTCAAAAATAAAATTTTAATCTCTCAAAAGTAATTTTTGGCTTTTCAAAAGCATTGTCAAACATGTTATTTGTTGTGCTTGTCATTGTTGAATTTAAAGTCCTAGACATTGTTGATAAGTTGGAGGGAGGAGAAAGATGGAGTTTATTCATCGTGCTCCTTAAATTCTGTGAAACTTTTGCATATGAT